TCGTAGCGTTTTTCCCTTCGTGATAGGAAATGAAAACAGCGTTGGGAAAGGAGCCCGAAGGAGCCCAACTTTACTGGCTAGTCTGGCCAGCGAGCCCTTACCGCGCTTCACAACGTAAACCGTAAAGTAACTGTCAAGCGTGCCTTTCACTGGACCTCGAAATGTTAGAAATCTTTTTGACCAAACTCTCCGTACAAGGTTGGAATTTCATCTGCCAGCTGAAGTTCCTGTGTTTCATTAAGTAACCACGTGTAGCGGAAGAAGAACTACGCGTTCATCAGTCCTTTTCATCTAAATTTCCGAGATCGTACTGATCGTACTGCCATGCGAATGCACGTCCTGCCAATCAGCGCTGTATCGCAGTCCAGTCGATACGCGAGTCAGCGCTTTTGTTATTCTACCAACTATCCGATCCCGGAAGCGATTAGGTTGGTTAGGGCAAAGATAGGACGGGGAACTAACAGGTAATCTCGCCACTTATCCCACTTTTGTCCAGATAACTTTCCACAGGATTCAAGGGATTCCGAAGGAAACTGAATGACGTCTCCCTTTCAGATGCAATCGTACGATGGCAGTACTGTGTGCTGTGTTAGCTGTTGTATTTCTGGTCTCAACCGTAGCTTTGGCTGTGGTAGTTGGTGTGAAGTACTCGAAGGATAATGAACTCATTGACGAGGTTCTAAACCGGGTAAGTCACTATTCATTTGTGGGAATACCTCAATTATCGATAGCCTGTTATTTAGATGATTTTGAACATTGTTGATAGTTCTCTGACATAGAACTAGTATCGCATCAACGAGACAAGGTCGCAAATTGCCTCCCGATAATAATACCGAGGGGTTGTGTGCGCGATTTACGCTCTCCCCTCACGCCTCGGTGCATTTTTACGGATTATCAGTCGATGAACGGCACTGTGAGCGTTTCACGCGATGACGACCTATGCTGGGGGACACCCATTTTTCGGCGTTTTGCGAACTTAAAGGCACATTTCGTAATCGCCATTCGTAGATGGTGGAATTCGAAAACTACGATTTCTAGATTAACAGACTCATCTACAGAGAAAAAAGCGAAAGAAATAATGGAAAACACTCTCGGTGAGATACCTTTTATATCGCCCTGCATGGGCACACCATGTGGCAAAGCGATTGCGTAATCGGACGACTTTTCGCTCGTTGATAATCCAGCGATTTCAGCTATTTTATTCTATGGAGTCATTTTCCCCTTTCATTTTGTACCTTATCCAATTTCGTCGCAGCAAATCCTACATAGCCTCCATTACCAGGACAGCACCTGGGTATCCGGCAGCCTTCCCTCGATGGGCCTGCGTGGAAAGCTCGCAGTCCGTGGCCAGGTGCACTTCCTGGCTACAAGGGGACAAATCTTTGATGTCTTCCAACTCAAGCTACCTACTTCCTGAAGGAAGCGAACTTTCAAGCTAACTGCAAAATAAGCCTTTAGGTCATGTCTGTTACGCACTGACAAAGGATCGATGCATTAAACGACTCAGTTTCATGAGGAACTCCTTCTAAAACAGAACAAAATCTGGCCCACTCCTATAAGCTGTCGGGCTTCCAATTCCTACTAAGCAAAGCTTTTAACAGACTTGTTCTTCGCGAACGCTGTGGCATTTGAGCTGGAGCGTGTCAAGGGTTTGGTTTCACACGACGCCACTCCTTTTCCATCTATTAGTGTCGCTTTCCTGCTTTACCGATTGATGAGAACGGACTGAAGCCATGCCAAACCTACAACCCTGAATCGCCCCAACATGCACAGCGAAAGAGAGCAAAATTGAGGGCAAATCATCGTTGGGGATTGCCCAACAGGGGGTCGTATTTGATCGCTGAGGCGTGAAGGGGCGGTCGCATTTGGTCTGGAAGATAAACACGGGCGCTAAGGGAGGTCGTGTTTGCTCGTTGCTGGGAGAGGGGGTGGGTCGTATCTGTGTCTTGAGAGAAATTTGCGGCGTTGGGAGAAATTTTCCCGGTCGCTGACTTTCCACAGTTTCACATGTACTATACCCTGACCCCCCTCCCCCCCTCCGTGACGCCTCTACGTATCAGAGGAGGGAGCCAAGGAGGGTCGTATCAAGCCACCCCCTGAAGAGGGGTCGCACGGACTCGACCAAAACCCTCAACCAGTGATGTGCCCTGAGACCGTTGTTGTGTTCTTTTCAAGCGTCGCTTATTGAGCTAGGCGTTTTTGAGTCTTGGATACAGGGTACAGCATCGTGATGTAGTACTACCCCCACCCCGTCGCGGAAGGGTCTCGGTACTACCCCTCTCCTTCCCCAACACCTACCTACCTTTTTCCCTATAAGCTCCCAGCTTCCTACCAGTATTATTCCGAGATTTCCCACATTTTCCAGATTTTCACCCAAAGATTTTCCGTCGAGCGAGGGGCGGGTGGAGAGAGAGAGCACAGAGAGAGATAGGATGGGAGGGTATATAGCACATGTGAAGCGGGAAAAGCCCCGAAAATCGGGAAAATTTTTTCCCAACGCGGTAAATTTCTCTCGAAGGCACGTGCAATTTCCCCTTTCCCAACAGCGACTAAATACGATCCCCTTCCTCCCAGCGGCCAAACCCCCGTGGGTTTCACACAGCGATGCTGCACCCTGCGAAACTTCTTTTTTGTCACTATTCTTCGTAAGTCCCTCAAATAATTATGGATGATGTACAGTCCTCATCATTGCGGACCGGTGGGGCGTGTCAGCCAGTATGAGTGTGCACACTGTTGAAGCCGTTCTCAGCCTTTTTGTTGAAACGCGTATGCGACAAAAAGTGGTAGAAAACGAGTAATACGAAGGCCCGCTTCAACAACTGGTGCAGAACGACTTTGGCACCGCGCCAAACGCAGCCGCACTGACACGCCACCGGTCCGCAATGATGAGGACTGTACCCAGCACATTGAGCCCGACATAAGATATTATGCAGCGAAATCACACTGCTCCTATCCTCCTCTTTTTCCTCCGGTCTTCATGTTCTACAAACTATTCTTTAGTATGGTTGAAATATCCGTGTAAGTTTCATTGCGTCTAAATTACGAAAGCTACTGCCTTCCAACAGAGCTCAAGCGATTGCCTGATTATTTACGGGACACCTTCTCCAAGCAACTATTTAGTTGGAGGGAGATATTCAACATCAGCAGAACATCAGCTGCCATGGAATTAAAGATGGGGCCAACGAAGCAGAAGAAATCAACATTGAAATGGTGATTCCATTCGATCACTAGTTGCTAGATAGTTCGATGTCGTCTCGTCATCGTGTGTCCCATAAATAGTAACTCACGCCTCAATGGTGGCAATAGACAAGAGCACTGCAGCTTTTTCTGCATTAGTTTCGTGGTGTTTTGTTGCACGACAATCGCGCAGTTTAGCTAGACAAGGATACGGTAGGCTCATCCTCGGAAAATCAATATATCGATTTTCAGCAAGAAGACTCTCCACATCACATTCACTGGCCGTTGCCTTCCGGTAGTCTCTACGCGCACTTTAAAAAGGCTGCCGTTGCGTCGGATCATGGATTGTGCTCAGAAATAGGAAGGTGAGCGTTTCCCAAGTCCCCCTCTGAAATTTAATAGGATCTGAAGAATTACAGAGACGTACTGATTGATGGAGGGAATGCTGTAGACTCTATGATAGCCACGTTGCTGTGTATCGGCGTGGTGAATCCCCAATCGAGTGGTTTAGGAGGCGGCTTTCTAATGACTCTTTTCAATGCGTGGACGTGAAAATGATTATATGTAGTTCTGTCGCAAGCCACTGAGGCTGCGCTCATACTTTGCGGCAGCGTCCGCGTTTACCAGCGTCCTCCAGCATCCACTAGCGACTATCAGCGTCTCGAAGGAATAGGAAATGTTGGATTATCAATCTCGCGTCTACCAGCGTCACTCAGGCGATCAGGAGCACGCCATTGATAAGCAGCCACAGTGGATGTTGCACGCACGAGTTTTACGGCGGCCCAATCCGCTATCTCTTCCTTTCTACTTCTCCTACTTGCTAGCGCGTTTGCTTCCGCTCCTATAATAACTTCCCATACGCTACTGCTACTCCTGGTCGCTGGTGAACGCTGGTAGTCGCTGGTGGACGCTGCTACAATCTGTACGCAGCTTTAAACAACAGTCAACTTCGGTGTACTTCGTAGAGAAAGCCATCCGCACTAATGCAGCCCCCAGTAGTCTGAAAGTAACGAGAGAAGTAAATCCCATGTCGCGAGATTTTGTCATGCTCTTTCGGAGCTCTCTCTCCTCCTTCGAAGCTTTCCTAAGAAGCTTCCATAACCTGAGGCAAAGCTGCTGACTGGCCCCTCCTGAAGCGCATAGCGTCTGAACTCATACCGTAAGTCAGTTACAATATTTCACCGTAAGTCAGTTGCAATATTTCAGGTCAACGGGTCGATGTCAGACAATCAATGCTCGTGAGACAGCACCGCTTGCCGCCACCGAGGATATGTACAAGAATGATTCACGCAATGCTTATACGTTCACAGTTGCTTCGTACCAGGAATTTTTGCGAAAATCTCATGAAAACAACGCAACTTCAGAGAGTTCTCTGTTTGTAGCGGTTCCACGAGCCAAATAGACTGCGAGTAATGTTTCCGCCTAAGAAATTTGTGGCACACATAGTTGCTATCGGTGAAGCAGAGGAGGCGTGCCGGCGGGCTGCGGAGTGTTACACTCCAGTCGCAGCGAAATAGGGCAAGTGGGGTGGCGTGACGCGGCATCAAAACCGAAATATGGAAGCCAGCACAATGGGTCCAACCTATATCCCAAGTTAAATAGAACTAAATTATAAACTAATTAAGTATAAACTGATTATATCACATTCAAATCACATCAAATAGAGGTGAAATGTTGCCGGCTGAGAGTGGTGCCCTCCTCCATCAGCAGGCAGTAGAATCTTTGAGGCGCCAGAAAGCCGTTATCGCTTGCGGCTTTTAGCTCCAATGAGTGCTGGGAAAAGGACCGCTGACATGCCCTGACTAATTTCTATGATAACAACCTTGGTTGCACTCCCAGTGCTCAATAACCAGGAAAAGGACTCCAGCTATCGGAAACAAATCGGCGTTTCTCCCATTACGATGCACTAAAGTTCGTGAAGCAGGCTGTTCGACGGAATCCGATAATCAGGACCCGTTCTATATACACGACAACTGGATATACACCCCTTGTACCTGGGACGAAGTGGGCATGGCAAAGAATGGTTTACTCGTGGGATATTTCAGTTTGAGACAACTGTCATCTTGTTCTGTGTTGGACAAGAGACATGATTGCAACTGCCCCAAAATCAAAATATCTCACGAAAAGCTCAGCCGCCGCATATTCTGTTCCAGTACGCAGCCACGCCTATCGCATCTCAGGGATTTTGAATGTGCAAGCAGTGTTACCCATTATCGATGTCCACATGCGTTTTCGAGATCGAATTGCAACAGTAAAGAGGAGGTTTTCCCAGGCATTTCATATTTCATTTAAAGAAACCTTCATTTTGAAGTGTGAATATCGAATTTTTGATTCCTGGATATGCTGCAGTTTTGCTCTTTTAACAAAGATCCTTACGAGGATCCCTCCAGGTTCCCTAATCTCAAGGTCTCAAAACCATCGACTCACGTTGCTCCCATGAACTTGTATTTTTTTCATAAATTCCTCGGACCACCTTTTTTCTAAATTTAGGGTATCGT